TCTGAACTGCGAAGTCAGATGAATTCCAGTTTAGCAAGTCTGTAATCTGCTTGATAACCATGTTGCATTCCATGCCATTTTTCAAAATGCAACCTCTGCAACGCCGATTCATCCACCGTTCCCCCGTGCCTCTCCGCCTGAAGCTCCGCCTACTGCGCCGTAGTGCCAACCGAGCTCACCTAACAATTCCTAATGTGAGCTTCACGTTGGAGACTTTCTCCTATGCCGACTGTGTTGAGAAGTTTCGTTTCACGAAGACGACGCTACGATCCCTGGCCAACTTTCTCCGAATCCCTGCTCGAGTCGTCACTGCGTGCTCTGCTGTCGAGGCTCTCTGCATACTGCTGCGTCGATTCGCCGTCCCTGACCGGTGGTCTGACCTCATGTCAATGTTCGGACGCTCTCGCAGTGGTCTGTGCAACATCTTCCTCCATGTGCTCGACCATATTCACAACGAGTTCGCCGACATTATTTTCTTGGACCGCATCAGCGCCAAGTTGGCTGACTTTAGTCAAGCAATTGTTGACAAAGGGGGCGAGGTTGAAAACGAGTGGGCGTTCATTGACGGAACCGTTCGGGAGTGCTGCCGTCCGGGAGGTGATGAACGGCAGCGATGTGTTTTCAATGGCCACAAGCGTCGCCATGCTGTCAAGTACCAGACACTGGTAACTCCTGATTGCCCACGCCTTTGGTCCCATTGAGGGGCGAGTCCAACTTGGAAAGTGTCATTGGCATGGACGGTCGTTTTGGTGGATTTGTTGTTTATGGTGACCCTGCCTATGGTTATTCTGACCAACTGGCCTCTCCCTTTGGAGGAGCTCGTTTGACAGCGGCCCAGCGAGAAGTCAACAAAAGCATGAGTCGAGTCCGCATTAGTGTGGAGTGGTAGTTTGGTCATGTTGTACAATACTGGCCAATTGTTGACTACAAAAAGAAGATGCGCATTGGAAAAAGTCCGATATCCAAGATGTATAAAGTCGCTGTGCTTTTGACCAACTGCATTACGTGTGATCGAGGACGGAATACCAATAGTGTTTACTTTGGCCTGCCTCCTCCTTCACTAGAAGAATATTTGCATGTTAACATGTAATATGCAAAATACCATGTTCTATTATTTTGCTTTGTCAGCTACAACCTGAATTAACTTTCCCATCTCTAACAAGAGACGTTCAAGTTGGTCGTTTCGCTTTGTGTTCTCGGCCATTTGAGCCAAACGGAGCTTCTGCTCCTCCTTTTCGAACTCCAGACGCTCCATTCTATACATATGATCGTCAGAATGCTTTTTCTTCTCAAACTCCAGAAGATCTTGTGCCACCGCATCTGGGTCTTCTTTCTTGGTGGTCACCGAGCTCACGGAGCGTTGACGCTTGACAACCCGCTGCTCTGCCTCTAGGCACAATTGGGAGCCGGTAGATTCCAAAGAGTCACGCTTTTTCTGCTCCTTGTCCTTCTTGGACTTCTTGGCCTCATCGGTCGCCGCTCGTCGGTCAACTAGGTCTTGCAGTAGCTGGACTTGCTCAGTGACCTCCTCGTCGCTGCCGGTGCCCCACAGTCTTTGAGCCTTGTCCGTCGACTTGAACGCTTCTACCATGGACTCGTAATGGTCGCGCGCCGAACGGTACGGGATCTCGCATTCGAAGAGTGTCGACAGGCTCGACGCGATGGCCTTCCAGCGTGCGGTAAGCGTGCGTTAAGCGTGCCATACTCGCCGTCGTAGGGTTCGACTCGGACGACCTCACGAAGCAAGGCAAGATCCATGTCGGTGCTCCATGCAAGCTGCTTTTGCATGGCCTTGCCCATCGTCAATCAATTTGGTCTGTGGCATGTTGTAAAGGCCTACAACCTGTCACGGCTCAATTTGATTGGCTCTAGGCAGGAGCTTGCACTCTCCAGACTTCACCATGAAAAGTCTGCTGACTTCCTTGCTTTTCGGACTAGATTTCGAGTGAAGTCTGAAGTCTTCGAAATTCGAAACGAAGTTAAAGTCTGAAAAGTGAGGAAAACAGACTTGCTAAAACTCTCTATTGCATGCGATGACCATGTCATCAGTATTGTGCGCATTCTTCTCCATTGACGACAACTTCAAATATGAAGGTCAAAATAAATGGAGGACGACCTATAAACGTTAAGCACAGGTTAGCGCACAGACTCAATTAACAGTAAGTAGGAAGATGACAAGTCCACAGTGAGGTGTCCATACATTTGGGTGCGCATTTTTTTCGAGCAAACGATGGAGCATTTCCGAGCACGCCTTAGAATGGATCGATTTCATCCGTGACTACAGTAGTAATAAGCCTCGTGAGAAATATATACATACGTGTACAATGAAAGTATTTGTAACTTTACCGTCATTCACAATCTCCTCGGCATGGTAAGGCGTGGCCCGCGGTGCTTTGGTGTCGTGGTGGTGCCGGCCTTTG